TGGAAATTTATGATTTCTAAAAAAAAAAAAACAAACGCGAATGTGATCAGTTTATCGTAAGCTTAAGGACTTATAAATTGTACTCAAGCAACTGGATGAAATTGTGTACAAGGCAAGTGATAATTGCAAAATTATGAGCTGAGTTGAGATGAGATGAGATGAGATGAGTTGAGATGAGGCTTGTTGCTGTTGTGCGCGACTTTTCCTACTTATCTTGCTGTGCAGTCAGAAGGAAATGTAAGCGGAGCCAGCGGCACAGCACTGCGGAGAGACAGCCGCCGAGACAGCCGGCGAGCCGTAGACGTATAAACCGTAAGCCGTAAAACGTAAGCCGTGAACTGTGAACTGTGAACCGTAACCCTTCGCGCACCCGCGTTATCCCTTATCTAGCAACCTACGCGAACCCAGTCTAGATGAGCTTACGCAATTATGAAACATTAAAAATACGCGCATATAAATCGCTTCATTTTTATGCGCAATTATAGCACGGCTGCGACTGCGGGCCGTACACGTTGCCCGGACCGCCGTCACCGTCGCCGACGCCGACTCTCAATTAACTTAATTCCCTTTTGCATAAACTGGCTAGGAGACTGTTGCTGATGCTGATGTTGATGCTGATGCTGTTGCTCATTTGGCCCGACGCATTCCTCATGTATTTTTTATTTATTTTATATTTCAACGATTATTCAGCATCACCCGCGCAAACTACTCAACCGTGTGCACTTTGGCCAAAAGTGTCAAATGTAAAGTGGAAAAGGAAATTCACGAAACGAATAGACAAAAAAAATTAGCTGGCAACGCGCTACGCACCATTGTGCCCGGAAGTCGAGCCACATAAACAAAATATGCAAAAACAAGAAACAAAAAACAACAACAACAATAAACTTGGATGGTATATACATATATATGTATTAAATGCTGTTACTATGGAAAATGCTTTCGTTTGGCTAATGCGATTTTAGACCACGGCCTCCAACTGCCTGGCTGTTTAGCAAGCTCCAACTTCCAGTTAACGGAACAGACACCGACCCGCATTTGGATCCGCCGTGTGGCGCTCTAATGGGATTACGACGCTGTCAGCGACAAGAATAAGAAGAAGATGTGGCAGTAGTTCACGTCGTCAGCGACTTTCTAACTGATTATCTGGCCAGGTTGACAGCAAAATTCAGCGCGGTGGACTGCGAACAAAAGCGGCAATCGTTCGACCGAGATGTAGCTAAAGCTGGAGACGATGGCCAAGACAAGACGTTAATATTATTATACGCTTTGTAAACAAATTATGAATTATGTTGGATAAATAGAAAAACTTAATAATAACTTGATTGCGGCATTTGGTTGGCTACTGGCTCCTGGCTCCTGGCTCCTGGCCAGTTGGCCTTAACATTCTCAGTGCTGTTTTCCCAAAATGCCCAAAATGGGTGACAACAACAAATGCACTGCACGAAAATGTTTCCAACATGGGCAAAGCTGCAAGCTGGCTTTAAAAAGAACTGGCTAAAACCTGAAAAAGCGAATCGACCACGAACCGAACCAAAACAAACATTTTATTTGGGCTTGAAGTATAAGATTTTCATAAAAGGAAACATAGAAATAAAAGAAATTTCATTTATAATAAATGAAATTTAAATATGTGGAAACCTAGAACCAAACCTTAAATTTTATAATATGTTAACAGTTCCACATTTGTGCACATTCTCGAGAGATTTGGGATATTTCTAAGAAATTTAACTAATCGATTGATTGATATACCTTAAAATATAACAAATTTCTTGATTTTATTATTGATTTCATGATGGATGGCAGTCCATTTGTGAATTTCGATTGTGTCCCGCTTAGACCTTAAATATTTTGCACAGTGCTTTCGTCCATCTTTATTTCCGGCTCTGACCAAGAATATGGTCTATGCCGGGCATAGGCATAGGACGAACGTGTCCTTGGGTTTCCATGGGTCTCTGGCACAGACTCAGCCTCGGCCGCCACCGTTGCCTCCACCTCGCCCTCCACCTCGGCGTCTATGCATGGTAAATGTGGCGGCCCCAGGCACTGGCGGCACGTTAATTATGGCACAAAAATGGCCAAATTGTGCTGGCAAAATACAAAATGCTTAGCGGGAGGTGCTATCTGGCGTCGGAAGGGGGCGTGTCCGGACGCGCACATTGCAGGTTGTGTTGCCAGCGACGACGACGACGACGAATGAAAGAAAATGTAAAAACAAATTGAAAACTTTTCCACGATATAAATTTGCATTTATTTTGAGCGCTCTTTGTTGGGTGTCCCTTGGAACTTTGGAACGGACTCGCCTGGACTGTCGGCTCTCGAAGCTCTCAGCTCTTGGGCGCTCTTCAGCTCTTCAGCTCTAGTATCGGCAGACACACTGTTAGCATATCAGGCGGCTTGTATATAGCTAAATATATACAAATTGCTTAAATCGAAAAAGTTTTGCTCCTTTTTTATATACGCGCACACACACACACACACACACATACAATGACTATACAAGAATATATATATTATATTTTAGCAGCAAATACACCTACGAAGGCAATAACTGAACTGAACCGAGCTGAGCTGTCCCCGTCGAATGAGAAATCCTGTGCCTTGTTAGCGGACCAGCTCCACAAAGTCGTGAATAGCTGCTTCAGCCAAATGGAGAACCTGCAGCAGCTGTTGTTGTCACATTGTTGTTGCCGCTGCCACTGTGCGCTACCTTTTTGAATATTTATGAAAAACTGAAACGTTTTAGCGCGCGGCCTGGTGCCCCTTGCAGCGTTTGTTCCCTTTTGTACCCTACGCACAATGCAGGCAGATAGTATGCCAACTTCTTCTGAGTCTTATCTCAGGCCATGTCCGGTTTAACTATCCTACTATATCATTACTTCTTTTCACTAGCCGTATTTTATTTGAGCCTAAGATTTTCGATTTAGCTGGCTCTTGGTCTTGCATTTTTTTTTCTTTTCCTTCACTGGGTTTTGGGTTCACCTATTTTATATCAAAAACCTTGTTTTAATATAAACTTGTTATATTGTATTTATATAGAATATCCATTTTTAATTTTTATATGTATTATATTATATTAAAATGTTTTAACAATTCTTTTCAAGAATATATATAGAATATATATATTATATTTTTTTTTTTTTTAATTTTTAGAATAGTAAAGAATTATATTCTATTTTTATATATATAAAATTATACTTAAGCATTATTTTATCAAATTATATCTTCTTAGGAATATTTTTATCATCCATAATAATTAATCATGTGGGGCCAAAAGTCTCTTGGTCTATTTTGGGGGTACGTGAGTAACTTATTTTATAATAAATAATAATTAATAGGGCTTTTGACAAAGAAGCTCTCACGATCTGCTGGGTATACGCAAGTAAAACATTTACAATTTTGCGTACTTGCCCTTGTGTGTATTTTTTTATGTTATGTTTGTTGGTTCCTTTCCCACTTGTTAGTTAACTAATTGTATTTTTTTTAAGTCCCTTCTGATATTGTTGTTGTTGTTGCGGATGCTTTTGTCGCGTTTCGTGTTGGTGGGAACCGCCCACGCACAAAAATGATTTAAGTGCGCCTTCATTAATTACGTTTTACCGCAGCTTTAGCCGCTGAAGGGAAGGGTGGCAGGCAAGTGTTAGCAGGTGGGCTGTGGGCGGTGTGCGGTGTGCGGTGTGCGGTGTGAGAGTGCCCCTGTGGCAGGTTGCAGCGATTTGCGGAGTATAAGTGGTTGAGTACGCCACCAGCCGTAGCTGCTGAAACTTTAATAGACCGTATTTCAGCATAATTAACACGGCAAGTGTATGAATGATGCATGACAAATCGCTGCGGGTGAATGATGCTGGCAACTCTGGCAGCGCCGCCAGCAGTCGGCAGACACCGACAATCAGAGTAACCACCTCCTCCCCCCCCCCCCCCCCCCCCCCTCCTACTGTGACCGCCCTAATAATTGCAAACGGTTAAATGTAAATTGAGATTAAGTTAGGCAACCCAACCCCTGCCCCACCGTTCGTTCTTGTGCTGCTTGTGCGTCGGCAACCGGAGCATTTTTAATGCACAACTTTGAAGGGTCAACCTTTTTTTCGCCAAATGATATGCGAATAGGGAATTGGGTAATGATAGCTGGAGCGTGTTCTGGCCCAAAGAATATTTCAGATCAAGTCTGATCTGTAAGAGACACCTGCACGAAGTGTGTCCAGTCTCGACTCTAGTCTGATTTGATTATTCCTTTGCTATATCGATAAAAGTTCAGATAAACAAATAAAAATAAATGAAAAAAAAGTGTGTTCTAGACGAAAGTGCCCGACTAGTTTATACCCTGTACTCCCTGAGCTCGTAAAATTATGTAAAGAACATTATTTGATATTAATACAAAACGTGCATAAGTCGAGAGTGCTCGGGCCATTAATCTAAAGTATACTAATTAACGTATGGATATTCAAAAAAAAAGGAAATAAAATTGTTGAATTGGTCGACGAAACAGAATACGAACGGAAACCGAAACAGCAGCATGTCCAAAACTATGCTATAGATTTGCAGCAACGCCTGTGACTACCCCTGAAAGTAGACTCTGTGTTTGGGGACACTTTGCGGCACACCTGAGCTGAGCAGAGCAGAGCAGCGCTGAAGAACCGGTCGCCGTTTACCTGACCCAATTAACCAAAAAGCTCATCGCATGGGAATGTTTATGAACGTGCCCATAAACAAATCCCGATCGCAGTCGGAGAATCCAGATCAGAACAAAAACCAGTCGAAGAATTTCTCAGCGTTTCGAGTTGGCAAATGCGATATTTCGACCGTATAATGCACGTCATCGATGCTTTGCTGTCCGATGTCCGCCGTCTGTAATTATTTTACTTTGCCAGCTCAAAGCAAATGCAAATGAATGCCATATCACCTGTCACTTTGGCAGATGGGGCTTAGAAATTTATGCATTTGCTGCGCTGATTTGTTGCAGCCGGCGAGACTCTACGCGGTTCTGTGATAGCTTAATATAAATGTGTTGCAATTGATGCTGAGCAGCGCATTTAATGCTGATCACAGCGCTGGATTAAACACACACGCTCCCTCACCCCCAACATCCTACCTCCCCGATCAGCCCAGCATCATGTCCGGGCAGACCAGAAAGCAACCGCTGCTGCTGTTCATCAGCTTTGCCTGCATTGCGGCCACTTTTGGACAGAGATTGCCACTGCCAAGAGAGCAGCTGCTGGCGCCCACCCTGCCCTTCGCAGAAAGCTTCGAGATCTTGGACGGAAATCCTGCTGATGCTGCAGCTGCCGCTGACGACGCGGACGACGACGATGGCGACAGCACGCAGCGCACGCGGGAACAGCTTAGGCAAGTGCTAGGGCAACAGCTGACTGGCGCTGTGGCACCGTTGACGGCGACGCCATTGGCGGTCCTAAGCCGCCGCCAGCCGGCCGTTGTGGCGCCCAGATCTGGCGCAGAGGCTGCACAGCGCTTTGCCGACTCTGCTGACGAGGAAGAGTCCAGCGAGGAGGACAGCGATGAAACAGAAAACGAATCAGACACCGACACAGACACCAACTCCGACACGGACACGGATACGGAAACGGACACTGACGCGGCACAGGAGCCACAGCAGGAATACAATCCGTATCGTGACAATTTTAACGACCGCAACGAGGACGGCAGTTACGTATTTGGGTGAGTCACCGCCAGCAGCCTATGCAACCCACTCGCTAACCCACTCAACCGCACAGCTACGCGCTGCCAAACGGCGTACGCCGCTGGGAGCGTGGCTTCTATTCGGAGCAACAGCAGCATGGTCTGGTGGTCGAAGGCTTCTATGTCCAGCCTCGTAATTACGGTCATACTGTTCAATATGAGCTGCGCTGCTATCGCGCCGATGCACATGGCTATCATCCACTGGCAGGTATATATATATATATATACTTGTATATAGTATATGCATATGTCTATATACTTATCCACACACAAAATCCAACTCCTTTCTTTCAGTGGAGTATTTGAGGCAGTCGCCTAGTGTGCGTCGTGATGAGTTGCCTAATGTGCGCTGTTTAAAATTTAATCGATAACACCGATAACGATAACACGAGATGTCTATCAATGTCTGCCCAGCTTCCAAGCTGAATTTTTTTTGTGCACGTAATAAAATTTAATAAAAATAAAATTGAAGTTTTAATTATTGGGCAAGATGCAACCTTATATATGAAATAATATTTAATAGTTATTATATAAGGAAGTAATTATAAACGTGCAAGCAAAACTTCGATTTTGTTGATAGTAATAATACATTTTATTATAATTATTGGAAAATGTATCCACTTAGGAGAAAACAAATGCCGCCCACCGTTAGTTCCTTTAATTCTTTGTTGCTTTTCCTATATTTATTTAAGACTTGAGAGTAGATTCTCAAATTTGTTAAATAATATCCATTAAATACGCGATTCTTTTCTGAAGTACCCAATGATATCTCCCTCATTGTTCCGCTCTCTCGCTTTAAATATCCTAGATCATATATACATATATCCTATCTTTAATGAAATGAGTATGTGCTAGCGTGCACAGCTGCCTGATGTCCTTTGAGTCCATCTTGTAAATAGATCCTTCAAATAAAAAACGTGAGCTAAGTGAACCAGTTTTCAATTTAGAGTTTGTTTCGCTGTTTGTCTGCGTGACAGACCCACGCGCCGAATATGCAAATAGACGACACTGGGATGATGTTACTTGTGGAATAAACAAAACTTGCGGCGATATTCGCCACAAAACTTGGCGCTCGTTTGTTGATTTAGGCAAATTTGTATTTAAGCAACAACAATAACAAGACAGCAAAAGCAGAAATAACAAGAACAACAAAATATATTGACAATAGAATAGCGGATGTGACAAGAACCACCCATACCCACATCCCACATCCCACATCCCACACCCCACACCCCACCGTCCACCCATCCCCTTAACGCTGACAGCAAGCGGCAAAAGACAATGGCTTAGAATTTGGAGCCAAAGTTGTAGTCGACAGCGGATTCTGTTGCGAGAGCCGCCGCACAAAAGGCGCCTCATCAACGCAACCAGCAACAATGACAGCTAACAAACCGTTAAGTGCCGCAACAAATCGCCAAAAATTGAAAACTGTGGGAATACGTATACACACGACGCCAGACGCCAGACGCAGGCCACAAAGCCGCCGAACAGCTACCAGCCCCACACAGACCCAAACAAAGCAACAGCGACGCACCCACAAGAAGAGATAGAAATCTCGGTCTCCCAAAACAAAACAAAAAACCAAAAACAAAAAAGCCAACCCAAAAATAAACTAAAAAAAAAAACACCAAAATAAAATTAAACAACGTTATACAGTCACCAAAAAGACAATAAGAACAAATAAACAGTGTTCTAAAATGCCATTCGAATTTAACTGGAAACGTGGCTAGAAACAGGGCGCCAAGCACAAGGAAGTAACATCTTGGGCCAGGGATGGGTAATCGTAATTAAAGTCTACAAATAACAGCTAAGTAATAATGATGACCATAAAAATAATAATAATAATAATAATAATAATAATAATAATAATAATAATAATAATAATAATAATAATAATAATAATAATAATAACAACAAATAACAAATTTTAAAAAAATCATCAGAGCTGCGAAGAAGTCGGTGGTTCAAATTGCAATTCGAAATATTCGAACTCTGCCTTTGAAATGCAGTTCGTAATCCCGATTTTACATATTCTTGAACGAACGCTTTTATAATATTACATTTTACAAAATATAAATATCGATTCGGGTTTCGGCTCGAATGTTTTTGGGGCAATAAGTTTGATTTGGTTTATAGGTTTGCAAGTTTATAAGTTATGTAAAAATTCGGAGAGTATTCAAAGAAGTAGTGAGACAATACAAAATATATTTTATATTTACAAATCAAATTAAAGTTGAATATGATAGAATTGGACTTAATGGTAGACTAAGATAATTATATCTATAATCTAAGTCTAATTCTAAATCAAATTTAAATCGTTTTTTATCTTGGGATAATTATGTGTATAATCATTATTTCATGACCATCTATAATCTTAGTCTAACTACTCCATGTCTACTTCTGGCATAATCAAATTTAAGAATTTAAATTTCTCCTCTTTAAAACTGAGCTCTTGGATCAATTCATAGCTAGCTTCGATTAAGAAGTTATATTTGAATTCTAGCTGAATAAAACTTATTTGTCTGACTGCTGCCGCCGTGAATAACACGCAAGCCTGAACTTAAGTCAAGTGACGCTGCTCTATTTAAGGCTAGACGACGTGGGATACCATGTACACAGCTCTGAAGTGCCGTAGTACGAAAAAATCCTAAAATCCTAGAGGAAGGACAAACAAAAATCTGGAAGACATTGTAGGAGGTGGATGTCGGACAATGAAGAGAGCAGGCAAAAAATGATTGAAATACAAATAGTTAACGGACAATGCGAGTTTTCCACCTGCATCTAGGGGTGGCCGATGATGTACTCTGCACAACTTGATGATACCCTCGTTTTAATCCATTTTCGATGGATACAGACCGTATATTGGTGGCAAATAGCTGGTGCAAACTGAAAGCTACAAAGCAGCTAAGCGATGCGCCATGTTGGTGTTCAGTGTTCCCGGTCCCCCTCTCTCATTCTCTCGGCGCCATGCTCTTGGCTGCTGTCTTGGCCTTGAGGCGATTGTCAACTGACTAAACATGTCCGTGTCCACGTCCATGGCCGTGTCCGTGTCATCCTGCAGTCCACATCGCGTAAGCAGTAAAACTAAACATGCGAAACATATATATCATAGAATATATATCAAATGTCGTCGTCGTCGTCCTTGTTGTTGTTGTGTTGTTGTATTGTTGATGGCAGCAAGTTTTGGCTAAAAAGTGTTTGACTGATGCACAAATTTTTGCGCAAACAGTTAAATAACTCAAGATGCCGCCAACTGCGCTGTGAAAATCAAGCAGTTATCAAGTTGAAGCCAGAAACTTGCAACAAACTTTCACGCAAACAGACAGATAGACAGACAGATAGACAGACAGACAAACGGGCAGACAGACAGAGACGTGCAGAGTAAAAGCAAGTGATGCACATACAAACGCGTCTTGGCCTATAATTGAGCAATTTACACCAAAACATGCCACAGGATATGGAGGAGAAGGGGGCAGCCGCAGCAGTAGCAGCATCAGATGCGACTCTTTAGTTGGTTAGTCCGGGCTGCTGACCCGAGTCGACACTCGACTGGGAACTTTTGACTTTGTTGTGGAACTGGGCCATCATCAAACAGTGCGTCGACATGGCTGGAATGTGATAAAAATGCTGAGATTATGTAACCGAAATACTTTCAAATCGAAATCGACCAATATAAATTCATGGCTCAGACACTTGCACATACCACACTGGGGCCGGGCCATCGACTGCCATGTCTGGGATTGGGGCTGAGTTTTAGGTTTGGGTTTGAAACAGGGGCCGCTGCTACTTGGCAGTTGGAAACGCTGCACGGAAATGCTGGCAAATGAAATATTGTGCAAAATGCCAGCGCACAAACAAGCTGAGTTGCCATTTCGGTTTGCCATTGTCCCCACTGGAGGGACCCGGGAAAGAACAAGAGCGTGAGAGTGGGGTTGGGAGCGGGAGAGGGGAGGGAGAGAGGAAGCTATATTGGGTGTCCCGGGTGCTAGGCAGCTAGGCAGCTGTCCTGGCTACGGATCTGTTCTGGCCACGGCCGCACACAAAACTTGAAACAATATTTTATGCTTATATGGGTAAAAATATTTATTAGTTTGTTGTTTTGCGTGTAAATGTAAGTGTGTGTGTGCGTGTGTGCCAGTGTGTGTGTGTATTTGTGTGCGCTCTCATGTCGACAGCGGATTTGCAGCTGCAGTCAGCGGCCGCAGCGCCATTTGAATTCATTTTTTATGGCGCTGCATTTACAGCCGCGCGAATGCCACTTGGGAATTGTTCTTGCCCCATCCTCTTCTGGCCAAGTGTGTGCTCGGTGGCGCATTTAAAGGCCCCCCCATCTTGACGACCTAACGGTGCCTGGGCCAGAGTGCAATTGCCAGCTACAATCTGTCAAAATCCAGCCGAATAAAACGTTTAAAATTTATTAATAGCGCTTTCAGCTTGACGTGCGGAACTTAATCCTACTAAGTGTCTGTCTGACTGACTGGGTTACCTGCTAATTGCACTCGCTTAATGACCAGATTACAACCGGTTGCCGAGAGAACTGTAACACTTGACACCTACACAAAACAAAATACTAAAACAGAGTCAGAGCCAGAGCCAGAGTAAGGGCCAGGTCAGTGAGAGACAGAGAGAGAGAGGGAGAGGGAGAGGGAGAGAGAGGGAGAGAGAGGGAGAGCAAGGAGTGCCTGCCTTGCGCTTTAATCAGATGAAATTCTCAGCTGAAATGTTCAAGGAACACGCATTTAGCTGCAGTCAATATTTCAAAAGTTCTTATGCCCTAATTGTTGTCATTAATTATTTATGAGGAAAAATGCATTAAGCACAAGCAATTTATTTGCGATTGAAAAACACTTCACGTAGCAATCGCTAAACAATTACAGATTCATGCATCTAATATCTCAAAAACAGTTCATTAATTAAGTATTAGCTCATGCATCAATCAATCAACCAATCAATCAATCAATCGTTTCAATAAATTACGCACTGTGACACCAACTTAAATAGGTAAAAATATTTGATTTTTTTTGAATGGTTATAAATTGCATCTTATGATTAAGTATTTCTTTGAAAATTCAAATTGCGCAAATTCGAGCTTAGCTGAAAACTGAGAAGAAGTGCAGTCCGAAGCTACTGACTATGCGATACCCTGTTTAAGCCAGCCATAGTTAGTTATACATTTTCTCATACAAACACATCCACTGAGCTTTTGACTCTTCTTTGAATCCATCTTCAATTCATTTAACCCACATTTCCTACCAAAAAGTTTGGCATTTGTTATCCGCAGTAAATTCTTTAGCTCATTTGCGTCTCAATTTTATAGCAGCTGATTCTCAACCAAAAGTTATTGCCCTTTCGCATGCATATACACTCCTTTTGCCCCTGGGAACAGGGTATTATAATAACCAAATGTGCACAGACAGCTTAAAAAACTTATTGCATCCAAAAACCGATTTATCAATCAATTATTTGAGTTATTAATTATTATTTACGCAAAAACATTCAATGAAATGTTTAATAAAATTTGCCGTCGATTAACATTGTGCACTGCGAGTGCAGAATAAATGATTAAGTCTTATTATACAGACATGGATATGTTTTGATAGATTTATATATATTATGGATGTGAAGTGAACATTGCCTCAATTCCACATATAATCAAGCGTGTCATATGACAAGTCGAGTAGATTTCATTAAAGTGTGTGGTGAAAAAATACCATGTAAGTGCAACAGGCGGCAGTGTACCACTGAGAGATACCGTGTGCTGAAAAATAAAATATATATTAATATATAGATATATATAAAAAATTACAATAATATATACATATACTCCGCTCCACTTGAAAGAGATGCGATAGATCAAGAGAGAAAGATAGACCCAAGAAAGAAGACATATTCGTTTGCGGAGTGTCTACTGTATAGATTTAAGCCAAGCTCAAACCGTTCATAAAGCCAGACGGATGAATATGACTACAAGGACTCGGCACATCGTCGTGATCAAGATGTTTCCTTCTGCCTGTTGCATAGATTTGCACAAAATTGTAATACCCGTTAGAACTAGTCAGAGCAGGGTATAGAAAGACAACCATAAATATTATTATTTATGATTATTACTGTTATTATTGCTGCCCGCTGACAGACAATTGAAATGGGCCAAATTTCAATTGCCGGCAGACGCCTTTTTGTTCCAGTCATCGATTAAATATAATGCACATCGATGATGACTCTGCGGAGTGCTCTGACTGTCAGGCATTTATCATCCACCAGCCATCAGACATCAGCCAGGAGCCAGCAGTTGGGCAACCATTGTCGCCATTGTCAAGGACACACACAAGTGTTCGACAATGTCGGGAGGGAAAGAAAAACTGAAAATCGGATGGAAAAAAAGAAGAAGACACGTAAAAGGAACAAATGGACGCGCACGTTTTGCAAAATTCAATGTCCACGAAATACGGCGACGCACTTTTAGCATGGCGAGTCGTGTGTTTGGCTGTCGATGGGAACAGTTGGGCCGTTGGAAGGTAGGATGACGTGGCCCGCTGATCTGGTCAATGAACCGTGACTCCGAGTCGGGCCATAACTGTGGCAATGGTTGGTGATGTGCTTCTGTAGCCGACATACACAACAGCCGCGGGCGGCACAACAAAACAAATACACAGGCCAACAAGATTCAGGTCCAACTCAAAATCAAAATCAAAATCAAAATACCCAGCAAAGAGCTCGACTCCAGACACAAACAAATAAAGAAGAAGAAAAAATCATAAATGCTGTCAAAATCACAAAGCCGTCAAAACGCTTAACGCAGAGCTACAAATCCCGAACGGAGTGCAGGATGCGCAGGGTGCGGCTGTTCGGGGCACAGATGCGTATGGGACAGTGGGTGATTGGGATTTGGTTGGGATTGAGGTTTTTGGGGCTGAAGAATGCCAAATCATTGGCACTGACGTGTAAGTTCATTTTTTTATTTTGTGAGCTTTCTTTGACTTCTTTGACTCCGTTGACTTTCGCAGCATATTTTTCATCTTCACTGGCAAAAGGCTTCGCTTTGCCGAATCGTATAAAAGGCTGCCAGCCACCTGGCCAAGGAATCAATTATTGAATCCCAAGCCAGGCATCAAGTTCGAATCGAGTATGTTACGTGCCCCCATGTCAAAATCTGGCCTGCAGCTGCTGCAATTGCTCTTGCTGCTCGCAGTCGGCCTGTGCGCTGTTCAAGCGCGCTGGACACTGCGCCCCAGGCGCACCACCACCACCAGCACCACCACAACAAGTACCACTGCCATGCCGGCGCAAAGTGACCGGCATCAGCATGTGCATCACTGGCCACCATTAGTGGCACCACAGGCGCCACAATCACAATCACAACCAAAACCGCCTGGCCTGCAGCTGCTGCCCGCGCTCACAGCCAACAAGGACAATACCCGACTTATTGATAGCTTCGATCAACGCTCGCCCGACGGACAACACGAGTACAGGTGATGGCAATTAACCAACTGTTGCAGTTTGGTCTTTTTGGTTTCTCTTTAATTACCATGCTACGCCTCCTACTCCCCCTCGTCACACTCTGCAGATTTCAGCTGAGCAATGGAGATACGCGCTATGAGCGCAGCTACTGGCTGCCCGTGGGCAAGAGCTTTGTGCTGGCGCGTCGTGGTTACTATTCGGTGCCATTGCCCAATGGTCAGTATTCGACCGTATTCTACAGGGCCGATCACCAGGGGTACCATGTGGACACGCGTAAGTAGTGTTTGGCGTACCAATCTCTAGCAAGGATTGGAGGCTCCGATTGGGGGCTTCAGTGTGCAATCGAGCGTAAAATTTTATGCCCAAAACGCAGACACATTATCCGGCGAGCAGCCGCTGCTGCCCCGCACCCTCGATGTGCCACATGATGTGGCAGCCATGAAGTCAACGCCAACAGCTAAGCGAAATTCAATAAGCGTGCCAGAGCGTAACGACGAAGAGTTGGCCCAGCATCCAGATGCCCTGGCCGTGGGCATCAACACTTCCCGCAAGAGCACCAGAAGCGGGAGCACAGCCAAAGGTCAAACTGAAGCTGATGTCCGCCTGGAAACAAATGTAAGTGGCCATGGATGGCTCTACCACCGCCACTGTCGTTCCCTCTGACTGTGAAATACACAAAAAAAAAAAAAAAAAAACATGTTACAATTGCAGAACCAGACCCAGACCCAGCACCAGAACCAAACCAAGCCATCAACTGTGGCCACAGTTGACGACATTTTTGCAGCTAAAGTTGGCACAGCACCAGCTGATGATGATGATGATGTTGTTGCTGATGATGATGATGATGATGAGGTGGCAGACAGTAACATCAACGTAAACTGAAAGCTAGCTGAATACGAGGGCGTGAATGTGAACGCGGATAAGTTTGGGTTTGGGCATGGGAACTTTGTCGCAAGCGTGGTCGGTAAAGTGACATCAAATAGCTGCACGTGTGGTTGGATCTGCTCCACTGGCAAGAGCCATGGGGCTTTTCGCTTTGCTCTGCTCAACTGCCAGGCTTCAGTTGCTCCAAATCAAATTGAAGCAATTGCCGCAGCGAGAGACATCATTGAATACTGCCCCCGAAGAGCTCGAAATTGAGTACAGCTGAGTTGGCCCTGCCGAAAATCATTTTTGGCTGTTGGCTGTTGGCTGTTCCGTAACACAATTTGCCACCAAGACGACAACAGACCAATAGATCGAAAAAGTGAATATATATACACCACAGGACCATGAGACCGAGTCACCAACAAACCCAGTCACCAATACACATCATCAATTGCTCACATTACGCCCGCATCAGCATTGGCTTCAACAGGCTTCGAATTCAATTTAAGCAAACAATATATAATAAAAATTATTTCAAATATATTTCCATAAAAACACGCCTACATTTCGCCCCTTCACATTCAATTTTAATGGATTTTTATTGCATTTTTTCAATTCAATTAATCAAAGTCCATAAATTGCTTTTGCCAGTCGAAAAGGGCAGGCAAAGCATTTGCTCACAGAATATTGTCGTCTCTAATGTAAATTTTCGTTGCCGGCAAATTTCTGATAGGTTATAAATAATGGTACGATTTTCTATTCTAATCTTCTATTTTCTGATAGGCAAATCGCTTTAAATATATACATTTGTATGTAGAATTTTCTAACAAAGGCTGTTATCGAAATCCTTGAAAGTGTTGTGTAAAGAAATTATATGCAAATTTGACTAGGTGGCAACGCTGGTCATCAATCTGCATATCTGCAACATAGATTTAGAAAAGGACAATCAACCCAAAATTATTCAAAATATATTGCTGGCAGCGTTTGGTGATTGCAAAATTTATAAGTTCGCCCGCGTGCTTAACCTGAACATAAGATATACATATGTATGTATGGAATATATACTTGTAGTCCTTGAAGCCATATGATTGCTTATATAGGTCAAAATGTAAAATTTTAAGTAGTTTTCTTCACGCAAGTTGTCTGCTTAAGAATCGTAATCAATGCACAGCCCAAACCGGAAAAGCTAGAGAAAATGAGCACTAAGGCGGGGTTATGGAAAACTATTTAGTTTTTTAATTCTTAAATGTATTTTTTTTTTAATCATGAAAGAGTGCTGAAGAGGGAAGTATACGACTGAAGATGAATCATTCATAAGCAGTTCAAATATTTATGTAATTAATTTAAAATGGAAACAAATTAATTGAACTATATTACAACTAGCCGATCTTAACCAATTATAAGCAAATCATATGTGCAGTCCTCTATATAAGCACATGCAGTTCCCTTCAAATTGCGGACTCGTATCTACATAGTTGCCCAAAAAGTGCATAACTGACACGCCAGAGTCAGAGTGGTGCACTTGTTAGGGATACTGAATGCCAGACTTGGCCCTAAATGCATATGATTAGCCTGGTGGTGTGATAACAATAAAGAGCTTGCAGCTGGATGTCTGGCTGTTGCAAACGCGTTCCAATTTTGGGCCATAATCAGCGCGAAGTTTAAATTAATGGGCCGCACCCTTCAATGAATGGGCCATCATTTGATGATGGCCTAAACATGACATTATGAGACGCCAGACAAAAAGCCCATTTCCCACAATCACACACACACACACACACACTTTGAGCTGTTGCCGGAACTACGCTTCTGTATTGTGTGGTGCCCATTTAAATGGCATCGCTGCGAAACCAAATTGGACGATGCTAGTTGGGACCTGCTTTGGTTGAAAGCACTGTCTGAAAGACACCGCCAGCGGACAGATTGTCAGCAGCAAATCGGTGAGCATTCATAAAAGCATTCGCAGCGGTAACCGACAGCAGAATGGGCGTAAGATGGGGCAGCCTTTGCACTACGCCTACCTTTGTCATATTTTTTATGCCAAGCATCCTCCAGGGAATGGGGTTGCTCGTAAAATGCACAAGGAGCAGCAGTAGTAAACCTGAAGCTGCAGCCGAAACTGGCAGCTCTAGTTATAGCTGTCGCTGCAGCTGGAGCTGGATCTAGAGCTGGAGCTGTTGCTGTAGCTGTAGCTGTAGCTGCAGCTATTCATTTCTGCTACTAATCCGATGCGGGATTCGGTTTATTTACGAGTCGGCCTCTATGGCCATCTAATGAATGAGCACAGCCTGAAACTGAAACCGGCACTGGCGACACAACGAGTGTGAATGACTGAATGAATGAATGAATGAATGAATGACTGAATGACTGAATGAATGAATGGATGTGGCCCCAGGCGTCTTCGGCTTTTATGCACAAGCCATTGCTTTAACTGCAAGCACGGGCAGGGGCTGGCTTTGAAGGCAGAAAAAGCGCAGTTGGTTCTTATACAGTTTGAATTCTAATTGCACAAATGAAGCTGAGCAGCAGCCTTAGACCAGCGGGAATTCAAGGTGCGGGCTCTGTCTATATACATACATACATATGTATCTGTGCATACTGGATGTGTGCGCAGCTTGCGGCTCTTGGCCCCAAAGTCTGCATGCAAGTTGTTTGCCCCACAAAACGCTACAAATTACGAACGGATGCAGAATGTAAAAATTATGAGAAATGCTTGCTAAACTCAAACGATTTGCGGCAATGGCAATGACGTGCAGTTTTTTTTCGGTTGCAACATCCTTTTCGATGCGTTGCAACTCTAGCCACAGAGCCGTTTGCTCTCTAACGGCACTGCACAGGGGATGCTAGAGCAAGAGTATGCAAAGCTTAGAATACTGGCACCACAACAATATCGATAGGTACCTAATCATCGATATATTCCCGGAACTCTTGGACTTAAAGAGGAGAGTAGCAAGCCAGAAATATTCCCGATTGCACTTTAGTTCTGCACGTTCACGCTAGCTGACAGAAATTGGAACAAACAAGACGGATACGTCTATACGTCTGGCACTGTCATTTAAGAACTATCGATAGCAATAGTCGCGTGCGCATCATCGATACTATCGATTGTGCTAACTATTGCTTTGCAACATTTGTTCAAGACAAGTCCGTGGTATTTCCTAGTCATGTACTCAAAATAGTTACCTTTTTATATGCAACACTTTGAATTGTGTGGCTAAAACTTCCTAAGTACAGAAAAGTAGTCAGATGCTGGCACTGCAGATGGCGACAATACGAGCTGTACACACCCTTATGATGATGCTGATAATTAAGATCATAATGATGCAGCGCATCCCAATTGTAAACCCTGCCCTCTTGTGCTTCCCATACCAATTTGTACCCCATGGGACTGTCACACATTTTTGGTATGAAATTCTCTTTAAAATTCTCTCAAACAAAAAATTTAAAGTGAGTTTCCCGTGTTGTGGAGCTTAACTAACTACTACATGCATATGCATATGCTGACAGGCTTTAAATGTTACAAAGCGTCAAGCATATGCACAATTGGAAATGAACTAATTCAAAATGTATTTAAAGCGTGCTACATTTGTGATCAAATTGATGAATTGATGAAAAATTTCTATCAATAGTCGTTGATAAACACTCCATGCTTATCGCAAGAAACATGCTCGCTTATCGCGGCAACAGGACACCATTAACAGATATTATAAAAAGATTTTAAATGAACTTTAGCTTTGTTATTTAATGGTTTATAAGAGCTAATTTAAAGCCAGAAAAAAATAGCTGTTTTCTATGCAAATTTAACAATAGAAAACCCCATTTGGGGTTCAAAAAACTCACCAGTCGAGTCAACAAAATAATTTCATTTGATTTGAATACTGGACGATTACAATATTTTTGGGGCGAACCGACGGGTACTTGTTGCTATTTATAAACTTGAGAGGGTCCCACAGGACAGAGACCCAGTCAAGTCCCCAATTGTGATTGGGGTAGGTTACAGTGAGGGATTCGGAAGATTAATTCGAGGGTGTGTCTGTGTGTGCGTGTGTGGGTACACATAAAGGGTCAGCAACAAGCATATGCATAAGCACATGCTGAAATCTATTTCCAGATGGATGCCTAACCCCATCATTAATCTATCTTCATGGTCGTTCAATAAGCCTCCAATAATGCAAGCATTGACAACGGATTTCATTTTTCCCTTTTCTATGCTCATGTGGATGCGATTCCCCAGCGTCACATTGCCTTTTAGCACGCCATTGGCATGGAGAAAGGTCAATCGCATTTGAGTAGTCCATAAATAAATAAATGGCCCACAAATAAATAAATAAATTGAGTAATAGCTATAATTGACGTGCCTATATCAAATGCGGGACGCAAAAAGACTCGTTCCTGAACTATAGATTTCTAACAGCTAAGACGATTCCGGATTTGGATTCTGCCATCGTCAGCGCTGCGTACGTGCGAGCTTGCCTTAAATAAAAAAAAGAACCTAATCTCCCGACCAGCAGATACCCTGTTCTCACGCACAAAAACACATATCGACTGCTTTTCTTCCTTATCCCAAATATGATTTCTCTGGCTTTAATATACACCTAGATATGCTTAGAGAATCGATGCTCGTCGATACTTTAAAGAATTTAATATAAATGAAACATTCACTCGTTCATGATATAATGGAATATTTTTAAATATTTCTATAAATTATCTATAAATTACGAGCCAAAGATGCTTTCTTTGGCTTTTTACAAGCACTGGCAAAAAACTGGGTCGCCCCACTTAAGCATTCCTATGGGGTAGAGGGTATTTCACAAAAATTGAAACATTGACCAGTTTGGTTAAGCTTGAGCTTAAGAGTGAATGACTGGACTGTTAAAAATGTGCGTAACTTGAGGCATAATCTAAATTTATGCCGGGCTATCAAGTCACAAAATACAATAAAGTACAAGATAAAAAAAAAAAAAAAACGGCTAAGAAATTGTAGCGCACACCATCTCACATTTGCTAAGAACACAACGAACAATTGTGGATATAAATACATTTTTTTAAGCTCGCAAATATTTACAAAATATGAAAGCGTTGTGTTTGTTGTGTTTATTGTCTCCACATCGACTTTCTATGCGATTCTCACAAATGCAAGTAATGCCTGCAGATGAAGTGAGAGTGTTAGGGCAGTAGAAGGCTCTCTTTAAAATTCACTTAAAATGTAGCCGTAAAACCTTAATAGAACATTGAATGAATATTGAATTACAAATTTTCTGGCTGTGTAGCCGCGGCTTCGAAGCAGATGGTTTACACACGTCCTAGATACGAGAGAACTACGAGTGAATCATAAACATTTGGCTGGTTATCAAAAGCGAAGTCAATCTAATCTTGAGATTAATAATGTGGCTTTTTGTAAATTTCAATTGCTGCCAACTAACCGCACACCACAAAATGGCAAGCAAGGTGTTTTTGTTTGGACGCCCGAAAGCAGCCACAAAATGTACATTTAATGAATGTACTACCAGAGCCTCAGCTGCAATTGTCCATGTCCAAAGCCCTTTCGCAGTCCAGCTTGGACCGGGCAACAGTAAAAGGCTTTTATAGTTAGAATTTTATTGACTTGGCTTAGTTTGTAATTGTGTGTGTGTGTGTGTGTGTGTGTGTGCGTGGGTGTGGGTGTGTTCACCGAGCGGCAACCAAATGAAGTGCAATGCCCAAGCATAGATATACATATGTATCTTGAAGATACGGCTGGATGGTGTTGCTTACAATGCCGCTGGCCTTATTGGCTAAATTGACCGCATTTTGGTAATTGGCAATTGGAAATTGTGTTGCGATTTGCCATGTTTTGGCTAACTGGTAGGCTACTTAATAAATCTATGCATGCTTGTAGCAATTGCCATGTACATATACATATTATTTATCTAGATGCTCGCTTGTATCTGCTGTGCAATTTGTTGCTGTGGCAAATTTCTGCTTACATCGCACATCGTGCGGCCTGGGTCTGATCCTGCAGCAAGAGAGCTTGCGGCTTTTATAATTTATGCAAGACACCAAAACAAAACTCAACCGTAAGTCTTACAAATTGTTTTGAGATGCTCGGCATATCATAAAAAATGAAGCTCTCGCACATAAATGGACTGCGGCTGTTGAGGGCGGCCAGAAATCTGAATCAGTTTTGAAGAGTTCCGCAAGAGCGACGTGATTTGATGGGAATTATTCCGTGCCCAGACCCAAACCCAAGCCCCGCACACGAGAGCACCAGACGGCAGCCGGCAACCGGCAACAGGCAACTCGCAAAAGCCACAAAAAGTGGGCAACAGCCGCAGCCACAGCCGCAGCCACAGTCGGTGGTGCCGGCAATTCGAAGACGGAGCCAACTTTGGCTGGAGCCAAACAACAAGTTAAATCTCGAGACGTCATGTCACGTAGCTACGCTACATGGACCATTCATACAAATTTTGTTTTATAAGCCACTTTTATGCATTATTTGTGTGTAACTTTGCCCATTCGTCTGTTCCGTGTGTTTATATCTGTGCTGTCTGTGCATATGTATCTGTAGCTGTATAGCTGTGTAGCTAAATTTGTGTGTTTTCGGATGTACCTGTATCTGTGAGTTTGTTTTCTCGCGCGATTTCATACCCTGTACTCAGTTAAAGGCCTGCAAAAGAGGTATTCCAAGCCAATCAGTTTTTGTTGACGTAAAATATATACATATAACTCTGATCAGCTGCAAAACCTTTCTCTTCTACAAAGATTCTTAGCAAAATTACTTATATTTTAAAAGTGAACATTTTATTAAGTTACTAGACTTTCATCGATTTATTTATTAAATCTAAAATAAATCTTTTTACAGCTTTCGTATGTAATATGAAAACTGACTTAAGTTGCTTAAAGTCTACATCAGCCCATGCATAGGTAGCTACAGGGCAAGCTTGTGGTACGAAAAAAACCCCAAAATTTGTTTTTTCTTATCTGACTGTTCCTTTTGCTGTTGCTGTGGCTTTAGCGCAATTCACGCGATTTTCGGTGCGCACATTGAAGTGAGACCTGTTGAAATTTAGAATTTTTGACAGTATGATGTATGGGTTTATTATTAAAACAAACAACTGAAGGCCTGTAACAAATATAGATCAATTATGTATGAAAAATTCCATTCGTTGCACTAGTCAGAAGATCAATATATATTCTATTCTTAAATGCTGACATATTGTTTAAATTAGAAAAAAAGAAAACTCTATACATTAAAACTTAAATTCGTATAACATCATTTTACTTATTGTTGTTTGAAATATAAGATATATATTAGTAAGATTGAAGATATAGATCTTTATTTTGCTCAACACTTGCCCCACTGTGCGAGCGCGCAGTGTAAGGTGGGGCACGTAACATACTAAATGCAAACGCTGATGATGACGATGACAGGGACAAGGACAACACCTACAAAACCATTGGGGCTGAGCTACTGAGCTAAGCACGCAGCCAGCAGCTAACTCGACAACAGCAGCAACAGCAACTGCAACAGCAGCAACATGCAGAATGCAACTGTGAGCCCAAAAATAACTGCTGCCTGCAGGTAATGACCAAGAAACACTTCCTGTCACGCCGCCAACTGCACGACAACAGCAGCATCTTACCCTGTCTCCTGCTGCTCGCTCACATCAGCAGCAGCAGAGGCAGCAGCAGCAACAGCAGCTCCTCTTCTTAATACTTATGTTGTTGCCTTTTTTGAGAGGGGGAAGCATTCTGATTTGTTGGCCGTTGTCTTTGTCATCGACATACGAAACAAATGACCTTGCCAGGCGCTGCTGTCAGCAACTTGGCGGCTGCTGCTGCTTCTGTTGACGCAACAAGTTTGCCAAACATTTTGCGCTTTGTATTTTAATTTGCGCTGCCGGCTTTCGCCTTTTGGGCGCTTTTTGGCGCTTTTTGGCTTTGTTCAAATGCAGAAATAAAAGCTTTGCCAGAGTCAGAGATAAATTGCGTTTATAAATAAATCAGTTTTCAAGCATGTCATTGCCTTGGCCAGGATGTCGACGCCAGTTGCTTTTGCTGCTGCTGCTACTGTTGCTGCTGTTGCCGCCACTTTGACTCTCGCCTGTCGCGCATTTGTGGCCTGACACTGACTGACTGACTTGCTGACTGAGTAAGTGAGTGACTGGAAATGTCGGTGTCGCTGTCTCGCTGTCACTGTCACTGGGGTTGATGCTGTCACCAAATCGGTGAACTGTGACTTTGACTGTTACACTAACTGTGAATTTGCCGCCCGGCGACAATGAGGCGTTATAAATTTTGTCTCGTTGACAACAGCAACAATTCCAGCTGAATTTTATAGCTTCGATATGCAGGTCCTTAACCTGCCCCCGTTGCCTGCCTCAAGCACTGACCTTAAATGTGTGCGCAAATTAATTCATCGGAGATAAGAGCTCGTTGATGTATCGACTAAAAACAGGACAGGGTGTTGGGTTAGCGACCAACATCATTAACTTTGGCCGACTGACCAAGTCCAGTGACTGCATCCTCCAGCCAGGCAAACGAGACAAGCGAGGCGTCGGTGCGTCCAGCCTTTCATTGAGTGCTCGCCCTGTTCGCTAAATCACTGCACATTAAATGCAATTAAGAAATGATTGAAATCATAAATTAGCCCTAATTGGCCATAGGAGGCGAAGATGAACCACTGCTCAAAGCTGCTGCTGCTGTTGCGGCTGCCGCATGCTACATGCTGCAAGCTGCCGGCACGTACTCGAACAGGTTGCACAAATTGTAGGGTGTACTTGTGTAGGGTATATTTTTAGCTGCCGTCCATGCAACAGTGGAATTCATTTTTAATTTGATGCTCTCCTAGGTTTTCTGCTTGAAATTTTATTTGAATATTTTATTAGCTTGGCTGCTAAATAAATGAAAAATACCATTTAAAAAATATTTTGTAACAGTTTTTTTGATTCCCTTAAACAATGTGTACTAAGTGACTGTGGATACACAGAGAATGATAAAGAGTTGCATTATTTATACCAATTGGAAAAAGATCTTGATAACCAGATAACCAGGCAATATTAAGAAGCTTCTCGATGTTAAGGGTAACATTTGTGCAATGGTTACCACAGCGATTACGATTGACAGATCGTATCCTCTATATATTGAAAATAACACAATAAAATTCCTTAGCTCTCGCATCCATTGTGCGTAGTTTGGGATCCGTTTTAGCCGATTTGTCAGCGGCGCGAACAGATTCCAAAGCAAACAAGCCAAAAGAGGCGCAGCCTAATTGCCCAGTTAGCAACCTGCTGATGCTCCTCCGCTCCGCCCTAGACCCGCCCATGGCAACAACCTGAGCAACAGCTCCAACAGCAACAACAACAGCTCGTACACACACATGTGTGTAAGTAGATGAATTTAAGATATTTTTTATTTTTTTATTTTTTGATTAAGCGTTGAGAATTTTTGACGTTACCGCCGTCGCCGTCGCCGTAGCCGCTGCTGCTGGCTCTGCTGCTGCGGCTGCTGACGCTATCATCCCAATTGGGCCGCAGTCGCGTCCATGCTTGTGAGTTGTTGCCGCGGTCACCGACGCAGCAGCAGAAGCAGCAGCAGAAGCAGACGTCGCAGCCGCGGCGGTTGGCATCGACATTCGCAGCAGCTATAAAAAGGCATTGTTACGCAGTTTCCGAATTAAACAGTTAGCACAACAACGCGGCATCAGACCACGACACCGACACCATCACCACCACAACCAGCACCACCAGCACCACTTCCATTCAGAGCAGCAGCTCCACCTACACACTGCTCCCAGCATCCCCAACTGCACGCACACACAAGGCCATGGCCCAGGAGTCTAGATACCAAATGCTCTTGCTCGCGCTGCTCGTCCTGCTGCTGGAGCTGAGCACAGCAGCGCCGGCATTGCAGCAGCAGCAGCAGGAGCCGGAGGCAAGAGGCGCCCGCCTTTTGGATCGCTTCAATCATCGCTATCCAGATGGCAGCTACGAGTTTCGCTATGAACTGGACGACGGCACGGCGCGGTACGAGCGCGGCTACTTTGCCTTCATCAACGAGGTGAAGACGCTAATGGTGGTCGGTTACTACTCCTACCGTATGCCCGATGGACGTTACATTACGGTCTTCTACAATGCGGATCAGTTTGGTTACAGGCAGAATCAATGTGAGTAAATTAAGAAAGTGGTGGTCGAAGCGAATCGATGGGGATGGGTTGGGGGTATCCAAGGAATCAAGGACGGAATCTATTTTAATTTCTCTTAACGAAGTATTAAGTGATATTTATGAGGTCTCTTAAGCTTTAGAGTCAGAATTGTCAGTATTGAGTCACAAAATTTAAATTCTTTTAGTTACCCTATTAAAAGTTAGCTATGGATAAAGCTTGTAAAGTCCCTAATATTTTTCGATATATAAGGTGGGTCACCTAAAACATTAAAGATGACCTATTCAAGACAACAAGAGGTCAATTTAAGTGGACTTTATATATACCAAAAATTTATTGAATATTTTTTTAGATATATAATAATTATTTTAATTATTTTGTTACTTTATTATTATTTTTATTCATTTTATTATTTTTAATATAATTATCAATATTATCATTATTATTATCGTTATTATTGTTATTATTATTATTATTATTATTATTATTATTATCATTATTATTAACATTATTATTATTATTATTATTATTATTATTATTATTATTATTATTATTATTATCATTATAATAATTTAAGACTTGTGCTCCCATATCATCTGCTCAAGCAGCGATCACACCTGAAGTCTATCCCAATCTGCCGCGTTCCATTGAGGTGCCTGCGCTCAAGGAGTCAACGGCGGTGCGACAGAAGGCAACGCCGCAGCCATCGGCACAGACACAACCACACAGTCTGCAATTCCGAGAGCCAGGCACCACCAGCAACTATGTCAGCTCCACCACATCGAGGGCGTCGGTGCTAGCCACTCGCAGGGGACGCTACTGAGAGTTTGGTTCCGGCGTTATTACGGGCACTCTGTTTTTCTTTCCTTCTCTGGACTACTTATATTGTATTATTATGGTTTAAAAAGTGATTTCAATTTTTTTTTAATTTATTTTTTTTTTTTTTTTTTTTGCAATCAAAAGGAATTAAAAAATAATAAAAATTTATTAAGGCAAAGCGAATATTATGAATTTATTATTGACGACGTTGTGTTGCCGCAATTGTCGCTGTTGGCGTTGTAGCTGCGGCTCTTTTTTTATGGCCAATGGATATCGGGCAGGACCCGAACGCCGCCCCACCTACTGTTGGCCGCCCGAGTCGCGATTTCGCGATATTTCGAAAGCCGCCGTCGACAACGACAATTTGGCAATAAATTTACCGCAAAGCGGCTCTGGCAATAAAACATACAAGTGCAAAAATCTCTGACTGCCTCTGTGTGTGTGTGAGTGGCAATATCGATGGCATATACATATATATATATAACGCAAATTGCTAGTAAAATTAAGGGCAGCACAAAATCAGAGATTCAGAGTTTCCGAGTTCAGCTCGCTGTACGAAGCAGCACCCAAAACTTAAGCCAAGCGGCAAGTATGAAGGTTCATCATAAATTTACAAGTGCAGACGTTTGCCAATTGGTTAGCCTCGGACCCTGCCATAACGTCTGCGACTTATGCCACAAACGATGTGCCACACACACATATACACACAATCAAGTGGTTGCACTTAACGCAGTGCACAAGGAATGTAGCTGTGTTTCTTGTTTTTTTTTTTTTTATCGGAAAGATCTCGACGGCAAAAACGCGGCTCATCCGATATAAAGCCATAAAACAAAATTATGAGCACTTTAAAGGAAAGCGAATCATATTGTGATTGCCTGTTTAATTGCAATCCGAAGACTGCACTCAAATAAACGAGCACTTGAGCAGTTGTTAAAGCTGACTATCAAATCAGATTACAAACATTTAATTTATGTGCGTGAATATTTACACGTAATATGATAGCTCGAGCATCGGATTTGAGTTGACGGCAATGAAAGAGCTGCAAATGGCCGAAGAGAAACCCCCAACTTTTCAGAATTCCAGAAATTCGGTAACTTTTTTTGGACACCTTTACTAAAACACATGGCAAGGCGTATGTGTGCTATACAGAAAAAATAATTAATTAAAATTGATTTGCATGCGCACATTATTGATTGTGTTTTTATTAAAATCCGCTACAAAGTGGAACTCTTGAATGTTTCTTCCCAATTTATACTTATAAATACATTTTTCATCATTATTTATTATTAATTGTTTCTTATCTATTAAATATTATTTATTATCTATTTTTTACTATTTATTATCTATTATTTATTATTTATTATCTATTATTATTATTTTGAATATTATTAATAATTTCTTAATATAATTGGTTTCAAGTATTTTTAAGATAAGATCAAAAGTAATTCAAATTTATAGCTCAATGGATTTGCAGTATATTTAAAAACGCAATTTTCAAAATATTTAAATCGTGTAATAATATGCTGCTAGATATTTATATACATTTATATATATTATCCAAACTTTATTTATGACTACATGTTATGATCATAGGTATTTCGATCTACTGTATAATCAATTGTATTTATATTAATATGAAATAACTCGAATATACTTTGCAAGTCGAGATCTTTTAAAAAATAGTTATAAATAACTTATCCAAAATGATTCCAATACATGTAAAGTTTAACCATTTATTGTCATAACGGTAGCAAATTTAAAATTTATCAAGACAGCCACATGTCTAAAATGGGAAAACATTTCGTGAAAGCAAAGTATCAACAATTTATCTTATAACAAGTAAAAGATTCTAGTCGGGAGCTACCCACTAGGGGATACCCTGAACCCTCTTCTTCCAACATCAAATGCATATATATATTCTCTTTAAGAAGTTATATGTGAAGTTTGGTGACTCTAGCTCTTATTATTTACCAAAATTGCGCAAAAAACAGGTAATCGATATCGAAGCTTATCGATTGCTTGGAAACGGAGTAAGTTTCGATTATCGGAAACAAACTCGAACTGCACAGGCACTAGGGGCACCTACATACATCTAAAATTGCAAGTCTATAGCTCTTATATGTTCTGAGATCCTTGCGTTCATACATACGGACAGACGGACATGGCTAGATCGACTCGGCTTGTGGTGCTGATCAAAAATATATATACTTTATGAGGTCGGAGATACTTCCTTCTCCCTATTACATACATTTGGATTTTGCACAAATACAATATATCATTATACTCATTTTTAATGGGTTCAGGGTATAAAGAGAATGGAAAAACCGCGCAATAATTAAATAAATATCAGTAATAATATAATTATTTTTAATTTACTGAAAATTACTTAATGAATAGAAGTAATAATGTAGTGCTAGCGTTGGCGACCAGTCAGCAAAATAATTGATTATTATGGATATATTTATTTTATTATAAACTTAAATATGCATTTTCTATGTATAACAAGCAATCGAATTTGTTAACAACCCACAACTAGAGATTGAGTGAGACATCATTTAAATTAAGATTTAAATTAACAAAATGGAAGACTTTGTTTCTCGTATGCTTCATTTAAATTCGCTTTGTCACTTAAAAAACACGTTAAGGCTAGTAAAGAGCTGCATGTAAATGCCAGCGAGTGCCACAATAAAATTAAGAAATGAAGTGGTCCACAAAAGGGCAGGTCTGGTTGTTTGCCACGCTCCTCGTGGGGGGAGTGGCACAGGGGGCTGGCAATGAGGACTCGTGTTGGAGCTGAGGCTGGGCCTGGGTCTGTGTGCAGTTTGTTTTCGCGTGCGATTGCAAAGCCAAAAAACTTTTCGCTCACAAAATGAACAAAAATTGTCGCCGTCTGCAGCGAAAGACAAAAACTGTGAAAATAACCTAAAATAAAAGCGACAAAAAATGAAATAATATAACAACGGCATAAAATCCAGCTAATCAAAAAAATTAAATTAAAAAAAACCAGAGAGAGAGCAAAAATATATAACACTTATTGGAGAGCCAGTGCTCAAAACTCTCGCTGCCATAAAAGCAACACTTGGTTCGGCTTGGCTGCCAGTGCGGTTGTGGGAAGGTGGGTTTGGTGGGGACTGGCACACAGGAATCGGTTTGCCGGATAGTCAATGCCGAGACCAGGCCACAGTTGCATTGAGAGGAATGCAGGCAAGCGGAACTCAGTGGTCTGATGCACATCAGGATACCCAGCAAAGAGTAGCTAAAACTAGCTTCTGCTTAAATAAATAATTTCTAATTTCTAATGAAAAATGCAAATGCAAGAGCGGCTTGAAATACCCGCTGCTGGCTGCAAATGTGCCAGGGTATGCGAAGAAAAGCCATGCACTAAAAGCAACTTTGAAAAGTGCTAAAAGCGTCTTTTGAGCTTAGCACGAACCTACGCAAAGAGAAACGCCAAGCAACGACGGCGGGACAATGTAAGGAGCGGAGGCGGTGGACACATTCTACAGCCGGACGGATACATGCAGTAGTTAAAATTATCAATGAAACTTTACAATCACGGCACGAAGAAAAAAGTATTGAAACTCCAAGTGCGAATTAGAGCTTGGTTGGTGGTTGGGGGTTGGGGCTGGGGTTGGGGACTGGTAACAACTGGTAAAATGATCCAGCGCCAATGAGCTGAAAGTTAACAAAGTTGCAGATGCACTTGCTGTTGTACTTTGTTAACTTTGCTTCTTTTAAAGCCAGTGAAAACCCCCAACCAAACAGACAGCTGGGCAGGGGGCAGGGGGAAGGGGACAGAGGCAAGGGAATTTAATTCAAGTCAATGACAAACACTAACGACTATAGATGGAGCAACACAGGACGCCGACGAACTTGAACTTTGGGCACACAATTAAAAAACTTGAGCCAGCCGAGTTTTAGCAAGTACTGGACCTGTGTCAAGGACTCAGCCACTAGATTTCCCAGGTCGAAGCCGATGCTCATTAAATGTGCATCAGCTCAGGCTAAGCAGGTGGAAAGGTTAGCCGCCCAGCAAAGCAAAATAGAAAAGAAAAATGTGAAAAATAAGAAAAGAAAATAAAATTTAAAATTTCCAACGCCTTAAATTTCGGTCTACTTGTATAATCAAAACGCAATAAATATTGCAAATGCGACAAAGTAGCCAAAAGTTGAACATGGACAGCCGTGGACCCCTGGCTCCAGCGTGTCCAAAGCCCATGAAAGTGAAACAGGATCCAAAACCAAATCCACTAAAAAAGGAAATATTAAAAAAAAAAATGGGAAGAGAAGAAGAAACGGAAATGGCTGCAAAATGTTTGCATGTTGCGGCAACGCGACAGCAGCAAAAAATTCTAGAAACCAGTGCCAAAGGATAAAGAATAAACAAGGCGCAAAAAAAATGGCATGCGCCTTGCGGTGGGCGGTACGTGTCACAAGGGGCGTGTAGGTGCACACATACACACATACACACACACACACTGCTAAAAAAAATTTAATATAAAATGCAAAAATAGCTTTTAAACAGCGAAAGTCGCGTTTACTGCTGTCTGCCCTGTGTTTATTTATTTTTTTTTCGGGGGTTGGCTGCCCTCTTTTCAAACGTGTCCGCCAAGGGAAACCAAAGGCCGCTGCTGCGGTAAAATGTGCTAAAAGGACATCGCAGTTGCCACTGTGATGGCATGCCACAATGCGTATGTGTGTGTGTGTGTATGTGTGTGTGTGTGTGTGTCTGTACAGTTCATCAGCGATCGCAGCTAAAGGCCACGGCTGGAAAATAAAACACGAATAGCAAAAGTATGAAAGCAAACGCAGCTCTAACCATCAAAAACACCAGGGCTACATTTGAGGCTGAGTTGCAAATAAAACAATCTGCAAATTATATAGACATATGAACTTATTTCAAGCAAAAAATAAAAAATATATATACAAATAAATATGTTAAAAACAAATTTATTAAACAAATTTAAAATCCAGCTAATTGATGACTCTATTATTATGGCCTTT